TGCATTCCTGCCAGCTGATGAGCTCCCAGATTGGAGCAGGAATTCCCAGAGCTAATCCCTCCTCCCCTTGGATCTTGGCCCATTCCAATGACTCCAGACTCACCCCAGGCTTCCTGTTATTTTACAAGCACATCTGGACTTGCAGCACTTCCCACCTTTGGCTTCCAGATGTTCTGACAGTTATTTCCCATTTATGAGGATGTTGTGAAGCTCAGCTCTGCTCCCTGAGTTTCACCAATATAATATCCAACTGTTGTCAGCCACCACACTAACATTTTACACTCTCCCAGTTTTGATTTTGTACCCTTCATTACTTCCAGTTTACCTGCTAATCACTTGTTCAGCTTAGCTGGTACTTTACCAGGCGATCCCAAAGCAGATACATTTTTAGAAGYAATGGATTAGAAAAAAAACCTTGCCTTTGTCTGAAAAAAATTAACAAAACAAATTTCTGTGTGATTCTGGCAATAATGCACCTATTCATCTTGTCATGCCTTTTTTCTCCACCCTTGTCTTTGTCTCTAGCTAATATTTACTCTGTGTGTCCACCGGATTGAGGATAGGCTTTGCTCAGCACCTAGCACAGCTAAAGAAGGGGTCACAGGCAAATACATCTGCAATACCATTTATTGGGGATCTGTGCCTAGTACCTCATCCACAGATTGACAAACTGAAGCTTAGGAAAATCTGTCTTCCTTGGTTTAGCTGAGCTCAGCACAAGTCGAGGTGTTGGCTCCACAATTGCTGTAGGTAATTCAGAGATATATGCTGAGTCTATAGTGTGTCAGGTGTGCTGGTGCCAAGTCCTAAATGAGATTTACCTGGGACAAAACTCCCAGTGTTTATCCAGGTTAGAGGTCCTAGAATTCATACTTAGAAATCATGGGGCTCTTATTGCCTGCTTGCAGCAAAGCCTTGGCTCTCCACTCTTTATTGTATGGTTATTTGAAGTTACTGTAAGTATCAGGTAGTGGTAAGGGGCTCTATCAAAGCAGTCGAATTGGATCAGGGGAAATGTCCTGACGCACTTCAGTCCCTGCGGATGCTCTCAGCAAGATGGTCCTCGGGATAGGGGGGGTTCCTCTTTTATCTGGCCACCCATTTGCTGCACATCCTCTGAGCCTCGCAGACCGGGAGCCACAGCTGGCTCCTTTCGACTTGTGAAGCGACGATGAGATGTGTGGAGGACAGGGCCAGCACCTTCCTCCAGGAACTCCCCTGCTCATGCTTTTGAGGTCAGCGGTGTCTTCAGGGTTTGGCTGTGGTGCACTGAAGGGGATGTTTGTCTGAATGAGTAGCTGCCATTTGGAAACTCTTGTCTTTGGACTTCCTAAACCCCTCCATCTGAATAGCTGAAGGCCAAGAGCGGCACAGAAGATGTGAGAACAGAGAGAGTCTGGAGGTGTTGGATACTCATGCTCTCTCCTGGGGCAGAGGGTCCAAGGACACCAGTGCCCTCTCCCTCAAATTGCTGTATAGCACTAGGACAATGAGGCACATCTTTGGAGCAATGTTTCAAGGCGTCTGGGAAGCAGTGGACATGATGGAGTGGCCTGGCACCCTGCCCTGGACATGGCTCCCTGCATGGCTGCTTGTGCATTGAACCTGCTCGCTTAGCTGCACTCCTTGCTTGCCAGGCGTTAGGATGTCCCCTGCTTCATCCTCCCTCTATGAGAAAGCCCTCCCAAACCCCTTGCTTCTTTATRTTGTTGAATTTAGTCATGCTTGGAGTTTATTTTGAAGTCTTTGACAGCCATTGCCCARCTGAGATGGCCTTTCCAGCATGATGGTGGCTCCTGCCTGGGGATGTGGCAGGTCTCCTGCGGCAGCTTGACTCCCTTCCCCATGCCAAAGGATGCCAGCATAGTATGGCATGGGGCAGAGATGTGGCCTTGCACTCCCAGGCCTTGCCCTCCCCACCAGGGACAATTTCATTTAAGAGGGACATAGGGAGAAAAGGCCATTTGTGGGAGTCTCCTCTTCTGGGCCAAAGCAGGTAACCTCCAGTGTTTGTCTGGTTACATGGGACCAAGACTGGGCTCAGATACATCAGTGCTGGTGTGCGATCACTGTACATGTAAATGAATCATTGCTGATATTTCTGTTTGGTGCAGTATGGGTTCAAACCCATATGGGTTTCTCTGGACTGATGGGAGCCCAAGAACATGTTCCAGCACCTGGTTGAAGCAACCTYCTGGGACATGAGTCCATGTTTTAGCTTTGGGCTGTGCCAGGGCCTCGTTTGCCAATGGAAGCCACCAGCTGCCAGGTAGCTGAAGTTCGCCTGACGCAATGTGAAGGCAGCTCAGGGGAGCAGAAAGCTCCATCAATTRTTAGCTTTGGTGACCTCTGGCCAGATTATGAATACACCGCTGCAGTGTGTAAAAGAAGCAGGAATCACTATAGTGAATGGCCAGGGCCAACCAGACCTCAGCTCAAACCCTTGTGCCCCTCGGGGTGCAAAAGGAAAGTGGCAAACACAGCACCGGGTTAGTGAAGCAGTAAGAGCCCTAAGGTTCTCTTGTGAGCAGTTTTGGAAGAGCTCTTCTTGCTACTTGCCCTGCATAAAAGGAAAATAAGAGTCTTGGGAAATTTTAGGAAAAAATTGAGAGTTATATATATATAAAAAAAATCTTTCTGCTTCTGTGAAATTACCAAGCATGATGACACTTGTGACAGTTGCAGAAGAAACACTAGACAAACGAAGAGAACAGCAGGGAGTGAAGAACAGGCAGATATTTCTCTTCAGAATCTTGAGAAAAGTCTGTAAAATCATTCCTGATCAAAGAAAGCAGAGGAAAATGGTGCTCTGCTAATCCCCAGGACCTTGGTATTATCAGCAGCAGACTCAAAATAAAGTGGACTTTATTTTTTTCTTTTTCTTTTTTTTTTTTCCACATAAGAAGATGCTAGTTTGGTGAGGATCACTCTGTCCAGTTCCCTCCATCATCTCCTGCTGCTGGTCACACCTGCAAACAGAGAGCAGAGCTGAGGTTCATCTGATGCTTCCACTCTGCATCCTGAGGGACCAACGTGATGCTCATGTGGGTCTGCTGAGTTTTGGAGGGTGTTGGGGCCTTATTCTGAGCAATCTGCACAGGAGAGTCCTTTTGCCATCTTGGGAGGACTCCGAGAGCAGCCACCACGGGCTGCTGCTGCACATGGCAGAGCTCGGGGTGTTTTCTCCTTCTTGGCAGTGCCATGGGCTCTCCAGGTCCCTGGCAGACTATGAAAGAGACTTCCTAATTTTAGTCATGGAGAACATGAAGAATGGAGGTTTCCGGTGAGCTGCTTGTGCAGAGCCTCATGCTCCTGTAGAGAAAAGTCTGTTTCAGCCTAGGAAAAACCACTATGTTCGTGGGAGAGCTGGGAGCACATCCTAGGCTGGTGGTCTCCAGCAGCAGAGCCACCACAAYGCAGAAGCCTGTGGAGAGGATGAGCAAGGWGAACAAGCCAAGCACAGGAGAACCACAAGGACCGAATGCAGGCTGGGCTCCTTTAAATGCCCTGTGCCCAGACACCACGGCGATGGGCAGGAAGCTCAGAAGAAACCTGAGCACCAGGGTGATGGCGTGAYGTGCACTGAGATGGGGGCTATGCGAAAAATGGCTTGCTTAGGAAAAAACTCTCAAGAAGGGAGTCATGCTRCAAGGAGCTTAGAAATGTGTGAACCTCCAGCCTGCAACCCAGCTGGGCTGGAAGCCATGTCCTCCTTCAGACTCCTTGGTGATATCTCCATGTTTATTATTTTGTTCACTCTTTTATCCCTCTGTGTAAGAAAACGTCCTGCTCGCAGAGCCAGGGACCCAGCCTTCCTTGGCACCATGCTCCATGAGGAACACATTACATATTACTCACTTGTGACTCTACTAAAAACAACCTCTCTATATAATGTCCAGGCTCCTCAGGGCCATCACAAACTCCTTGTGATGATTAAAAGCAGCAGCGTATTCGTTACATTTAATCTTGGAAGATGAGATCCTTTATTGGAGCTTTTCTGTTATTTGGGGTGTCCTGGCCTCATCAAGGGCACCTGGTACTAGAGAAGCCACAGTTCAGAGCTAGTGAGARACCCTAGACCCCACTCGCGGGCTCCGAGCCCCCGGTCCTGCCAACCWGCACCCTCCCAGGCCCCAGGTGGCACAGGGATGACGCCCACAGTGGGTTGGGATGGGGCTAAGCCTTTGGCAGGAGCTGAGGACATGTCCAGGGGATCAGGATGGTGCTGAGCATGGGCTAGGCTGTGATGTGCAGAKGGGCAGGACAAAGCTGAAGTGTGGGGTAGGGGACACTTGCGTGAGCAGGGCTGAGCCCAGGGAAGGAGTGATGACTGCAAGAGGGCAGCAAGACTCGGCTGAGTCCAGACAGGGGCAGGAGTCATGTCTGTGGGGGCACCATGAGGCTGAGCTTGGACCAAGGATGATGACSAAGAGGAACAGGAGAGAGATGAGCCCTGGGGCAGGGACAGAGCAGGGGTGATGCCCAGGAGGGAGAGGACAGAGCTGAGCCCTAGGGCAAGGATGGGACAAGGACGATGCCCCGGGGGAAGAGGAAAGGGATGAGCCCCCGGGCCGGGATGGAACGGGCTGATGTCCCAGGATAGCATGTCCCTGGATAGGTGTCCCATGCAGCAGTGATGTCCYAGGCAGCAGGACAGGGCCGAGCCTCAGGGCAGGAAGGGACAGACTGATGCAGGGGCCGGGGGGCACACAAGACAGGGCAGACGAGGGTGATGCCCGGGCAGGGGGAGTAGCAGGAGGGGCTGAGCCCCGG